TTGTGAGTCCTGAAGCCTCTCTGTCCAGTGGGGAAGGTTGGCCCAGGCGAAGCTCAGAGGGTGCAGCTCACTACATCAGCATGGCAGTAAACCCCATCCCAGCATCAGGCTCTGCAGACACCATGGGCAGATGAGCATGAAAACCTGGAAACACCACCTTCCCAAAGCCTGTGATCTGCAACACCTGCTGTGTGGAACTAATAAGAAATGCCAGCGACTTCATAGGTGTGTTGTGAGGATTTAATACAGTATGTCGTGTGCGGCGCTAAGCCAGGTTCAGTGGGAAGGCTGCACTCAGAGGTAGCAGCGGTGAGCTGTGCTGGGGTTGACAGGAGAGCTTCGGGAACAGCACTGGACAGTGCTCCTTTGTCCTGTTCCCCCTCAGCTCATCCGACAAAGGGTTCTAGGGGGCTCCAGGGAGGAGTGCCAGGTGCTGATGGCGTGGGTGTTGTGTGGGAAACTGGAGGGTGACTCCTGGACCTTACGTGCAATGCTTTAGTCGCTCTTGTTGTTTTTGTGGCTCAGAGATTCCTTTTCAGCCTGTTCCTAAAGGGTTAGATACGAGTAAGTAGGCTCTCCGTGCAGCTCTCGGGTCTGCCACCACCACAACCTTGAATGTTGGTCAGCTGTCACTGGAGGTAATGATGTCGCACGCCCTAGGCAGTTGGGAAGACCTACTTAATATTTAGATAAGGTGGTTGCCTCAAAGGTTCCTGGTTCCGTGTTGCAGTAGTTTGCCTTAAACAGTGGACTCTTGTCTATAAAAGGATAAAACGGGGAGAGAGGCATGTTTCCAGCTGTTTATCCCACCAGCATGGATTATCACTTTCACTTAGATTCCCTAGATCATTTCTGGAAGGTTGTCTGAGTCTTTCCCCCAGGAATGATACTTTTCACTGTTGAATTTCTTAGGGCGGTAACAGTTTTGGACACAGTCCTTAAGGACCCCCTTAAAGAAGTGGGCACTGATTGTAGGGAAGGAGAAAGTCTAAGGGACATTTCCTGTTTGGGTTGGTTGGTGTTTCACTTATATGAACTCCTGCTTCAAGGCCCTCATCCTGATTCTGGAAGGCCCTTGGTTATCTCTAGTTACTCAATTCTTCTGTAGGCTTTCGTATTTGTTAGCATGATTAAGTGATAGTTTTTTTCTCAAAAGAGATGAAAAAATTTGTCAATTAAATATCACATTTTTAAGAAGAAGCATGCGCTTGTGGAAGGGTGGCCGAAAAAGTGCCACACGCTCTTGCCCTATAATAAACGTCTTGCCTTTGAATTAAGGAGTGCTGTCTGTGGATGCATTTCCCCTCTGGGACTTTGATTAGAGCATACTAGAGGGTGGCCAACCGTACCTCCACTGTGCACTCCTCATTAGGACTCTTTGGACAGTATTTTTCAGAGCTTCTTTGCATGTGTAACTCTGTGCCAGGCCCACTATTGAGCATTTTATAGACTTGAGCCTTAATTTTCACAGTGATGCTCTGAGGTTGACCCCCGTCGCATCTAGAGTTTGCAGAGACAGGACGAAGCTCCTGAGACAGGTTGCACAGCTAGACGAGTCAAGTAAAATTTCAGTCTGGGTCTTCCTTGCATCACAGCCTTCACTCTTGGTCACTGTGTCTATGCCGGGGGGCTCATAAACCATTTTTAAGGTACTATACTGATAAAGATACGACTAGCTGGTTTTTGAAGGTCTGTCCAGCTTTGTTCTATGATTCTGAGCGACTCCATGTTGGTGAATGAATCTGTGAGACTCTGTGATCTCTTCCTCTCGTGACTGCAGTTGGAATTCAGTGGCTCTTCAGCAGCTTGAGTCTCACCACTGACACAAGCTGGGCATGACAGGGGATGGAAGGTTCTAGAAGACACAGTCTTTGCCCTTAAGGAGCCTAGCTATAGTGGAATCAAGAAAGGTACATACGTGACTCCAGCATGGACATGATGTGACATAGAAAGAAAGGACTGTGGCGTCCTTGGGCTGGAGAGATGGGACATTTTCACGAAGAACACCCTCCCATGTGCCCAGTAGTAGCACAGGAACAGGCAGGCTGTATGGGAATCATGACTGGACCCTGGACTCTGCCGGGGTGACTGCATTCCTTCTCCTTGCTTGCTTGGGAACTGGTCAACCTAGTGAGACCTGTAGTTTCCTAGGGACCTGCCTGGCACACAGTCATGATCAGAAGATAACAAGATCGTGGGCAGCTTGAATCCACCCCCTCCCGTGTTATAGAGTCTGACTGGACTGGGAAAAAACCATATTGTGCAAAACAGTGTGAAGGTGATGGCGTCCAGCTTTGGTCAGAGTGAGCTTCTTCCATGTTTCTAAGAGGAAGAGGGAAAATTAACTTTTAAATCCTACCCCCGGTGAGCACCACTCTTGTGCAGATTCTATCTTCATCCTTTGCTAGACAAGTAGAGAAAGGTTTTCCCTGCATTTCCTGTTAGTCCTGCTTGGAAAGCAGCCGTGGAATTTGTGCGTCTGAGCTGTAGACAGAACTACGCCATCAGGCAGCTTCTCCCTAACGATAAAACAATAAATACCAAGAATAATAAACCACCAGTCCTGTGTTTACCATGTGGTAGGTTCAGTGCCAAGCTCTTCCCATGGATTTTCTTGAGAAAATCTGGGATCTGTGATTCTTGTTAGGACCCGGGCCTCTTACCCTTTGTACTTGTCTGTGCCCATGTGGTCCTCTGGTCTGGGGGTCATGCGTCATGGCTGAACAGAGAGCTGCCGTCTCTGGAACTCAACAGGCTGACTCAGGATGCCTGGGTCCTGATCCCAGACCCACTGAATCAGGTTCCTGCTGAGAGATTTCCTAGAGACAAGCATCCTGAGAGAGGCTTGAATGAACTGGAGCAGAGAATTATAGGCTCCACTGCCCACCTCCGGCCCTTCAATCCCCATCCTTTGCTTCCTTCCATTGTTTCTGGTGGTCCCATTTCTCAGAAGCCCTTCAGCCTCTAAGTGACAGTCTTCCCTGCTTTGGGTTATTTGTGGTTCTTCCTACTCATCGCATAGTCTTTCCACCCTTACTCTGGACCTGGTCTGCCTTCTTACATTTCAGCAGGTGTGTATCTTTCCAACCAAACAAAAGAAACGTCTGGAAGTTGGCAGTAGTCATTTTCCTTCCCTCCTGGTGGTCTTCGCTCTTCTGACTTCCTCTCCCTCCCTCTCCTTCTCTTTCCCCTCCCAGCGTGCCTTAAGAGTTCAGTTGTTGGCTACTTTTCAGTTGGCCATGGCCTTGAGGCAGTAGCCCTTCACTCTGCTGGCTTTGGCCTTGTCCAGACCTTCAGGGCTGCTAAGGACATGTGACCAAAGCTCCCTCTGCTTTGGGCCTTTGCATTTCAGTGCTTTGATTGCAAACTGGTAATTCACAGCATGAGGCTCTTTGGGCTACTAGCTTGCCCCTCTGGAAGCGTCCAGTTGTTTATGAGAATCGTTAAACCAGGCTGTTGTAAGTGTTGACTTCTTTCTCTGTATTCATTTCTGGAGCATATGGAGGAGGAAGTCCATATTTTACGTTCCGAACATGCTCATGCAAGTTCGAAGCCCCTTTTAGAGATGCCTTCCCCACAATTAACTGGGGTGAGAAATACTCTTTGCGTATTATACCCCTTCCTTATTCATTAAAAAAAAAAAAAAAAGACAAGAAGAAAAACGCAAAGCAAACTAAGTGCTCGGTGGTCCCTGAACTCGAGAGGCACTAGTGGGCAGCACTGAAACCTCACTTCTTTCCTTGTAATGCAATTCCTTTTCCTTGATGTTAATGCAAGTTGTGCCTTCCTAAAAGTAATAAAAGGAAATGAAGACACGTTCTGAAATGAAACTTGACTCTAATCCATTCATCATCTAATACTGGCCTCTTTATCTTCGCTGGTACCTAATCTGGTTAAATGTCCCTGTTGTAGGATTTTAGTGAAAATCCTCTATGGGGAATAGGGTTTTTTTGCAATTGGATTACTCTCAGTAAATGGCCCAGTAGTTTGCTTGTTTCAGCTTCATTTTTCCTTTGTGGTCTTGCTGGGCTAAGTTACAGCACAGCATAGTGGAGGGGGTGGGGCAGCCTGAGAGTGGGAGCAGGGGTGGAGAAGAGGACAAGAATTTGGGAAGGTCTGGTCATGGCAACTAAAAAAATCTTTAAAATGCTTATTTTCCTTTTTTTTTTTTCCCCCTGCTCCTTCTACCTATCCACCCTTCCTGAACATAAAAATGCTTGTACTTTGTTTGCTGGAACTGCCCGTTTCTAAACGGCACCCCTTTTATTAGCCCAATTTATCATCATCCAGTTAATTTATTAGCATTCCCCCATGACTTGCTAATGAAATTCCTAATGAATCAGGGCTGCTGTAATCTGCATAAAATATGCAGGTGCTTGCCTGGCCGTCTAGGGCTTTCTGGTAAAGTTCACACTCCCAACCAGACCAGGAATGGAGCTTTTCATCCGTGTTATCTGTAAAGAACTGTAGCAGGCTGGCTGGTTCCCGGGGCAAGGAGCCCTTAGGAGCGGGAGGTGGTGGATAGGGAGGCTGTGTGGGTGGGACTTGGGCCCTGCCTGGTTTCTTATAAGGGAAGGTGTTCCTAGCCTGTTCTCTGGGAAGCCTGCTTGCCTCCTGAACGTCCCTCCGCTAGGGCTCTGGGGTCAGATACCACCCTACAGCCCCCAGTAAATTAAGTCCCCACGTCAGATTTATCTGATGGCTGGGAAAGTGCAGAGTCAGGGTCTGTGATGGGGTGGTGGTGGAGGAGGCACTTTTTACAGCTAGGCTCCGTAGGGAGGTAAAAACGGAAGCGTGCCCACCCAGAGAGCAGGCTTTACAAATACCTGTTATTTTTAATACATGGATCAGGGCCAGGGTTGCGGGCGGGATTGAGCGCATCTTCCAGAATCTGGGAGGGAGGGCATGGCCCCAGGAGCACCTTGGGCCTGTGTTGGGAAGTCTCAGGCTGCTGGGAGCCAGGCTGATGGTGTCCTTCTCTGTTTCTTTCCCTCCCACAGTCGAACAAAGTGCCGGTCGTGCAGCACCCTCACCATGTTCACCCCCTCACGCCGCTCATCACGTACAGCAATGAGCACTTCACCCCGGGAAACCCACCTCCACACTTACCCGCTGACGTTGACCCCAAAACAGGTAGGCCGAGCGTTTGGTGCCAAGCGCAAGTGCTGGGTCTGGGGCCACCTGACCTGCTGGGATTTGGGACGGGCTGTGGCACTGTGGAGGGGCACCTGTTCCTCTCCTAGGTGTTGAGAAGAAAGTACTTTGGGGAGGCCAGAGCCCGGTGAGGGAGTAGCTTCCCCCGTCCTTAAAAGAAGCCCATGTGTAGCACCAACAATCTTTCTAGAGCTCCGCATACCCACTGGAAGGTCTGGGTATGAATCCCACACTGTTTTTCAGGAGTAGCTTCTTGTAGGCGTCCATGAGGAGTAGGTATCTCGTGGTCTCCTTCTCAGCAGCTTGGGAATAGAGGAACCCCACCAGCATGGCCCCCCAAAGCCCTGGTTCATTTAGCAGCTGAGGGACTCTAGTCACTTGATGATGACGGTGTGGTGCAACGTCACTGGGTCCCGCATCGTCATTGCTGATTTATTTGGGTTCCTCTTCTGCAGTATCACCAAGCCCATTATACAGTTGTGAAAACCAGGTTCATCCTGGAACAACCAGTAGGGTCTCAGGCGGAAGGTGCCACGTAACCCTTCAACCTTTACACTTTACCCTCCCTTCCATCCCATGTGCTCATCAACTGCTTTTTCCTCAAAGAGGGAAAGAGAAGGCAGGGTTCCTTGTGACCCTCCTGTAACAACCAGCAACCGACCGCAGCTCCTAGTGGGATGGTCGTGGTAGAAGAGCTGAGGCCGGGCCAGGCCGGGTGGTACACTGCCCGGGGTTTCTCCAACCAGCTAGTTCATTAGAAGGATGAATGTTAAATGGCTATCCCATGTTACTTTGTCAGATGGGATTGTTTGGTGTCGAGCTGAGGTAGATTGCCTGTTCATGCAGACTTCGCTGCCTCTGAATGAAACTACACATTAGCTGGTTTTCACCAGCCTCTGAGCCCCCTTTGTGCTCGTGGGGGACCCAGCCTGGTGCTTGGATGGCTGGAGGAGGCCGCCAGCCGGCCCCAGGCTCTGCGAGTGAATGGCAGCATCAACGTCTCATTTAAATAATGGTAGTACAGGGAATAGCTTTTAAATGGTTATCGTAAAACATATGATTAACGTCTGCAGACTGTTTACTTTTCCTCTGCGAACATTCTTTCAAGTGTGCAAATGGCTTGGTGTAGGGTCCAAGACCAGCTAATCTGTTTGGTTTTTGTAATAGAGAGAAAGCCATGTCTGCATGAAAATGTCACCCAGGGAGACTTAACTTACAGATTAAAAGCTTCCTGAATGAATTAAAAAAAATGGAATAGTTTTCATCCGCAGACATGCAGCTCATTACCTCCAATACTGCGTTAATTCTGTAGTATTGTTCATTTTCTTCCCAGTTCAGCTGCTTCGATCAGTCCCTCTGTGTCAGAATTGCTTCCAGCACTCTTGCTTTGCTCAGGATTGAGGGCAGGAGCCTGTGGAGTAAGTGTGCAGTCACTTGGGCCTTTAGGATGTGCTCAGCTATGTCATGTGTCATGTGCACCTGGTCAGTGGCTAGGGCTGGTTCTCCCAGGTGGCTGCCTCCAGAGAAGTAGGTTCTAGACCTATGTCCGCGGGTCTGCTCAGTTCAGATCCTACCCTGGAGAAGAGGCCAGGGCTCCTGGTGAGTTTCTGCCACAGTTCCTCCTCTCAGCTGAGGTGGAGACATTCTAGAAGAGCTACCTTTTTTGAAAGAAGGCAAGAGTCACCCTTCCAAAAGCCATAACTGGAAAGGCATTGTTAGAAACTTAGAAGAGGGGACTCTGGTGCATTAGAATTGTAAAAGGAGTAGAGGCCCAAGTTGGGAGGGCAAAGAGCATTTGCATGACTTGATCACCTACTGTGTGCCAAGCCCTTCAGGTTTTTCTTTAATCTCAGTAATCACACTGATCCCATAAGGCAGAAATACCCAAGACAGTATTTTCGGGGTCTGCGTCTACCCCGTGTACCCATCCATCTAGAAGGAGATAAACCGCTTTGTCAAGGTAGAACAGGGAGAGATGATGAACAAAACCTACCCACAACTCTTAACGACCACAGTCATGGAAGGAATCTCATGCTAGCTCTGCTCATAGATGAGAAGTCTCTGTCTTCCTTTCCCTGTCCCCATCCCTTGGCAGTTTCTCTTGGCAGTTTCTCTGTCCTTCTCTCCTCCTTTGTAACCGAAATGCTGCTTCTTCTCCCAGGAATCCCACGGCCTCCGCACCCTCCAGATATATCTCCATATTACCCGCTATCGCCTGGCACCGTAGGACAAATCCCCCATCCGCTAGGATGGTTAGTACCACAGTAAGGAGTTCCATTTTTTAATTCCCTTTTTGTTTCTTACATGGGCATGCTTATTATTTATCCTGTGCGTGTGTGTGCACATGTGTGTGTGTGTGTGCATGTGTGTGAGTTTCGGAAGACAGGGTTGGTGGGGGAGGGTGGCAGGGGGTACTTAGGGAAGATGCTCCACGAGGTGCCCTGTGGGGAAGCTGGCGAGTCAGTAGCCCTTCAGATGGGCCATGTAGGAGAAACGTTGTTGATACTTAGCATTCTGAACCCACAGTCCCCAAAGACTCTGGGTTTCTCTCTGTGAACAAGGGTGTCCTTCAGATACTTCGGGAATGGCAGAGGCTCTCAGGGCTTCTGTCAGAGAAAGCCGGTCATGGCTCTTCTGCTGGTGGCAGCCCAGCCTGGAGGCCTTTTGTTGGTTTGAGGCAGCACGGGAGTGGCAACAGGCATAATGTCATTTTGAAACACAGGGTGAGAGTGGGGTGGGGGGCCTCCCTCAGAAGCCCCTAACCCCTCGCCCCATGCTGACCATTGCTCCCAAGGCTGGCAACAAGAGTGGAAAGGGCTGCCTGTTGGGACAGACGGTATGCAGCCAGCATCTCTCTGAGATTCTTGGTTCACCTGATTGTGAGGGGCGGGGGTGGGGCTTTGGAAATCCCTCCTGCGGCACATGGAACCTTCCTGAGTGTCAGCCAAGGTTCCCGGCAGTGCACAGGGCATCGAATCGCCTTTTACTATTTGTCTTCCTATCACCCAGTCTTGCTTTTATAGTACCATCCATTAACCTTTCTTAAGACGACTTGAAAAATGTGTATTTCCAAGCCAGAGTAGAAAGGCCTTTACTGCATAAACATACCATGAGCGAGTGTGTGTGTGTGTGTGTATGTGTGTGTGCATGTAATATCTGTTTTGTGATTACATTCTTGTGTATGTATTTCTCCATGTGTATCCGTGATCGCTACTCTAAAAAACAAGGACAATTTGTTGTCTTAACAGAAATATGTCCTGGGTTAAACTCCGAAGTTTGGGTTTTAGGGAAGACCCCCTGTTGTAGCCTTATAGAAGATACAGTCTGGAATAGTTTGCCCAGTGTTTCTCTAGTTGAACACACTCTATCCTGTTCTGTGAAAAACAGCTGTACAGAATACTGACCGTGGGTGTACTTTCTGTTGATTTTTTTTTCTCCTTCATTTTGTTGGGAAGGGTAGACACGGACGTGAGCTTGTATCCCATTCCTTCCTCAGAAAATGGGGCCATATTCCTGGACTAGTTCTCTGTCATCCCTTGCCCCGTTCAGCTGATGGGCAGATATTTGAAGGCTAGATAAAAAGGAATAGCCAACTCAGACAACCCTCTGTCAGGAAAAGTTGTGTGTCTTTCATGAGGATGCTATTTTGCATGTTGCTGTATTTTTTAATTATTGTAATGAGGTGTGATTGTCTATTGGTTACCCACAATTCTTCTTGGGGACTCTCCCCCCGGTAACTCTTGTCAACACTTGTTAATTTGACAAAAGGCTACAAATTAAGCTCTGTTAATTTAATGTTTTCTCACCGAGATCTAAATACCGAAAGAGGCCCAAAGCGTAACTGAAGTCCTTTGATTCACTGCACTTTATTTTGGTATAAATTTACATTCATTATTGTTTTCCTTTGGATGTGTAGCCCTCAATTAGTGTGATGGCTCCATTAAAGCAAGTGAGACTTCGCCTTTAATTATTACAACAAAACACCTAGTTTCAGCTTGGGGAGAGGGTCTCTATTGACATAAGCAGAGGTTATAAAATTTAATTAGCCATTCCTATCAGATTTATGGCATTCAAATTGTTCTGTGTTTCTTCCCTTTGATCCTTCCTGTACAATCCCCAAGATTTTTGTTCTGATCAAATGAGAATAAAGCTTACTGTGCAGAGAGAACTTTCCCTTTTTCTTCTTTTTCTTTCCCCCACCCCCACCCTTGTTTGCACTCTCTTACTTTGTATCCCCCCTCTTTTTAGGCAAGGTCAGCCAGTGTACCCAATCACGACAGGAGGATTCCGTCACCCCTACCCTACAGCTCTGACTGTCAATGCTTCCATGTCCAGGTGAGTTCCAAAATGGGGGCCTCCAACCAAGTCAACCATGGGGGACTTCTCAGGAAGTGCTCTAGATGGTTTCCAGGCCATCCAGTGGCCGCTTCTTCAAGTTATCCTAATGGTCTAAGACCAATAGTGCATTGGGCTTTACTCCTAGAAAACACTAAAAAAATTAACCTGAACTTCTAAGATAGGTGATGTCAAAGTTTTGAGGTTGAACTGGGCATCGATGTATTGAGCAGTATTTTTTTTTTTTTTTTAAAGACTTAAGAAGGTGGGAAAAAGCAGTTAGGACATATAGAACTTTTTAAAATGTTATTTCTCTGTTGCCCTATACTGGGTAAGAACGGGTGGGAGTCATTTTAATATTACGTAAAGGAGAGTTTGAGGAAGGGTGTGGTCTTTTCAAAATTAGATTCTTTACTGTCAACAAGAAGGGACACCCATGTCCCAACACACACCTCTGGAAAGTAATACTAACCCAAAGAATTAGAAGGGGAGCCCCCTCCCTGCTCGGCGGGAAGCCTGCTTCTCCCTCTTTCACTCCTCCTGCTTGTGTTCCCTCTCTCACCGTGTCTCTCTCTGTCAAATAAATAAAATCTTTTAAAAAAGTGGGGGAGGGAGCCCCATATGGAATTTTAAGTTGTTTATTAGCCACGGTTTTAAAGAGGTTCAATATCAGGGAGGGAGACCCAGGCGAAATTCTTTTTAAGGATCTGTTTTATTCAACCTATTGTCAAAATATTCTCATTTTGACATTTAGCACTGTAAAGCAACTGTTAATGAGATTTTACATTCTGTTTTGTACATTTTTTTTTAATCTGGTATGTATTTTACACTTAACTGTACATCTCAATTTGGATTGGCCACATTTGAAGTACTCAAAAGCCACGTGTGGCTGGTGACTACCACACTGGCCTGTGTAGCTCTAAGTCTTGGAAAGCTTAAAAAAAAAAAAATGTGTGTGCAGAACAAGAATTTGAAAAGAGCCCATCAAATAACCAGCAAAGAATTCCTACACCCAAAGGACAGAATGATGTTTACTTTCGTTAATAGGGGAGCATCTTCAACTTCTAATTTAAATATTTTGGGTCACAAGCTCCGCACTGACTTCTACTTCGTATGAAATATTTTGCTGTGTTTATTTGGATAAAAATGGTGACTTCTTCCTTTAAAAAAAAAAACTGGTGTGTGCGTCTGCATCCATGTATCTCTAAGCACATGAATATGTGTGTAATACGCACACACAGGTATACCCGCTTGGGTATACCTGGAGCTTTCTAATCCCCTGTTCTCCTTTTCCTCCCTCTAATTAATTCTGGCTAATTTTTCAATGAGCGCCAGTTTATTTACAAACCGGTTGGCAGCAGTAGGCTTAAGTAGCACTAATCGCTCCTAATGATAGTTTTATTTTCTGTTCATCTGATTTTCAGTCAAGTTAATTAAATCGGTGGAGGTTTAGACTTTCCTGATGGGCTACAACAAGTAATCCATTTTGATGATGACCCATAATTAAATCAGCACGCATTACATGGCAAGGATGCTGCCCCTAGCATCTTCCCCCAATCTCTATGGTCTATATGGGAACCCAAGACCAGAGGGAGGGTTGGAGAGACAGGACAAGCCAGCCCCTTTTCCTGCTTACAAGACAGTAATGCTGGTGGGGGAAAGAGTAAGAATTACATTCATGAAGGAAAACAGGCTGTGGTGTACCTCCCATTTGTAATTATACCATAGAGATCCCGTAATTTTAAAGATCCAGTCTCTACATGGGGTAAAGGATCTCGGTTTCAGAATCCACACCAATATGGGTTAGGTGGGAAAATGCCTTTGCATCCTCTTCTCCAGTGAAAAGAGGAAGGTTACATTCATTAAATAATGTCATCACCACCTTGCAAAGCATGGGAACGAATTGGGAGTCTCCCAGGACGAGAGCTGCTTCCGAGAGCAGCTCCTAATCCACAGCTCGTCTTCCTTGCAGACCAGCATTTATCATACCCCTGATTGTTGTTCGTGTTTGTTTATTTGGTGCCTTTGAGAGGTTAAAAGCAGTGAAGGAATTGTCGGATAGGGATTGGGGTTAAGCTTATCGATTGAATTATCATTAGGAGGTTAGCCGATGATTTAGAGGTGGGCAAAGGGGTGGTGGAAAGGAAGGAAACAGTGGGAGGAAAGGTTAGGGGCTCAGGGTGCAGGGGGGAGGCCGCCGATTCCCCAGGTAGGCCTTATGAAAGGTAGCTAGTTAAAAAGCGTATACAGCAAATTAAATACATTATTGTGGTAATGGGGCGACAGAAGTATGGGGCTATTATACTATGGCAGTTATAGGAAATGTAGGCAGCTTGCCCTGTTCCAGAACACCCTTTGATATTTATTCTATTCAGCGGCTGGGGCCAGGACTTCTCAGAATTAAGTGATGGGTCATTATACTTTAAACACCATGGAGAAGCCTAGATTGGCAATTAAACAGCTCTTGCTGACACTCACTTGTGCCACCCTGTGACCCCCTTTAGATTGAGATGTTGGAGCTCCGGGCCCTCAGCCTGCTAAATTGGTGCAAGGCTCTTCTCCTGACGAGAGCGGGCTCTGAAATCTGCCGGCTTCAAAGGGAGCGAGATCATGTATAAACCATAATGTGGGTGCACCGTGGCTCACAAAAAATAAGGCAGGAAGAGATGAAATGTTACCAGTGCAAGGGGGAAAATGAGAGAATAATGACAAACCTAATGCAACTCAAAGCAGGATTGTTGCACGAGGAAAATGCATCCCACTGCTTGTGCATGAAATCAAGGCCGCCGGATGACATCCAGTTAACAGAAACGTGTCAACAGTGAAGTAAAGTGAGAGTGAGCAAGAGAGAAACCCCTGAGACAGCCAGAAACAAGAATTAGTTGTCCTTAACAAGTTAAGGTTCATCATTCTATTCTGGCTCGGAGCCATAAAAGCAGACGGGGGTATATAATGAGCTGCTTAGAATTTTTAGGGTGTTTATCGCATTTCATGAAATAGTTGTCCGCAGAAAGGAATTTCTTGAGCAAAGGTGTGCCTTTGCCCACCCCCGCCCCGCCCCCCCCCCGACGCCCAACGCCCCGGTTCTTTTTCTGCTATATGTTTGTCAGACAGATGAGTATATGTGTAGGCGTGTGAACTTGGAAGTGTTCGTTCCCCATGGCTTGCACCGGAAATTTGGCCCCACCCCAAAATGTGCTGGAACTATAGTATCTGCCTGTGGTGTTTGGGGGGGTGTGTCTGTGTGTGTGTGTGTGTGTCCCCACACCCCACCCCCACACACCTACTCCTACACCATACACACACAGTGTTTCTCTGTCTCTCCCCCCTCCCCCCTTCTCTCCATCTCTGTCGTCCCCACCTTCCCCCTTCTCTCTCTCTCCCTCTCTCATGTCTATACACATATTCTCATTCAGCAAGAAGAGAACATATGTATTTCAGGAATGTCAAGCCTTTAAAATTCGCAGTAAAAGCTGCCACTCCACCCACCGCTTCACCCAAGGGCTTCTAAGAACACATGTTCTTAACTTATGTTTCCTCAGAGGCCCTCATACAGTGGGAAGGAGCAGGGAGTAACATGGGAGCCCAAGTGCCTTCCGAGGGTTTGCTTTTCATTTTCTCAGGGAAAGGGAATGGAGGTTGTTTTTTCTTTCTCTTTTTCTCTTAGACTCTTTCCCTCCCTCCCTCTTTTCTTTCCATCCTTCCTCTCATATACCCTAAAGGATTTACATGGTTCTTACTAAAAAATCATGTCATTGTTACCAAACTTTGATACTGGCTTTAATTTGTAAAAGGCAGTGGCAGGAGAGGGCCATATCAGGGTGGAATTTCTGAGTCAAATGTCCACTCTGAGTCCAGGTCCCTTTAGAAATCTGTCTTGTGCATTGGTGTTTTCTCTGTTGGTCTACACAGATTCGGTTAAATTTTTTTTTTTTTAACCATTTTCAAGTTCACATTTGCTACATTATTTGGGTGAAATGGAAAATCTTTTCATTTCCAGTCCACATAGGAAAAGAACCTTATAAATGCAGGGTCCTCTTGAAGTCATCCTGTCAGTAAACTCTTACTCGCACTCCCAGTACCCACCAGAACTGGCTGCCTAGAGAGCAGGTCTTCATTCTCTGGATGCTCTATGGGACTGTTCTGGTTTGGATTTATTAAGAAAGCATCAACTGCTTGATCTGGTTCTCCTTTCCCCAAACAGCACCCACCTGCTCACTTGCCTAACCTGGACAGGTTGGAGCCTAGAGGCCGCCATTTTGTTTCTCTTGGGGTTCTACCCTTTTTGCCCCTCACCCTACTATTCTCTACAGTGCTATGTGTTCTCTTAAGAAGGGTGATTCTTCTAACCCAGTACAACTCATTGGCGACTCCAAGCTTATCAGAAAACATGAAAGCTGTTTGTCTGATCCCGTTGTCACTCCACATGTGGGCCAAGATGAGCATTTTAAAACTAGCTCTTTATGTTCTGGTGAGTTTTCATGGTAGAGAAATGCTAATTCAGGGCCTAAGGGGGGTTTCAAAGAACTTCCTTAAAAATGGACTGTATTAGAGGAGAAAACAACCTTTATTCATAGAGTTACCACTTGGATAATCATTTAGAAGGCCTTTGAAGGCATAGGCAGCCTATTAAGTAACGTAATTTAGGAATACTAGAATTACAGAGCAGGAGAGGGTATACGCATCCGAATTCAAAGCTCCATTTATGTGTGTGTGTATAAAATACAGCTTTTTTTTTTTTTTTCCATCTTTCTGTAAGTGGGCATAAGCTTATGTAAAATATCTGTGACACTTGAAGAGAACCAGATAGGAAGTATTTGGATTTTCCCCATCTTCCTGCCTCACTTTCTCTCATTCCTGTCAAAATGATGGGGCACACCAGCAAAAGAAAAAGAAAAATTTTATTGTACTCTATCAACAGAATTTGGTTTAATGAGGCATGCACGGCATTGTCAAAAATGTGTACTTCAGCTACATTAATATTTTATTCAGCTGTCAATATGCAACAATAGATTTCACCTTTCATTCTAGAGCTGATTAGAACTTAGGAAATTGTCTTCTTAGATGCCACTAATAATGCCTCAAAAAACAAGTGGACGTGTGATTTCCAGCAGGTAGTCCGAGCCTACTTTTCCGCCCAAGTACATCCGTTGTATTTGTCTTTTGCTAAAGATGTTAAAAATCATAATGTCTCTTGTCAGTAGCAATAATGAAGGGGAAGATTGGCTTTAATGACATTATGAGAATCATTATGTTTAATTTATCACTAATTAATGCTGACAGGTTTCATATGCCTTGGGTTGCTTTCATGTGAGTGTTACGTGCTGGGTTTTTTTGTTTTTTTTTTTTTAATTGTGTGTACACATCCCTCCCCATTCATTCATTTTGATTCTGACGATTTACACAGCTTCCTGTCTTCCAGGTTCCCTCCCCATATGGTCCCACCACATCACACTCTACATACGACCGGCATCCCCCACCCGGCCATAGTCACGCCAACAGTCAAACAGGAATCCTCCCAGAGTGACGTCGGCTCACTCCATAGCTCGTGAGTGTTGCTCTTTCGGTTGCTTTCTCCTTCCCCATCTTGTCTAGCCTATTGTTGATGCCGTGGCTGCTGGGTGGTGGCCCTGCTGTGGCTGGCCATGTGGTATGTGTGCCTCGGGTGTACCTGTGTCCTCAGACAGGCTCAGATTTGCACCTGTGTCCCCGCCACTCATCCATTACTGAACGTTTGGAGGCCTGTCCTGTGAGCATGAGAGGCACCAGCCCAGGGGATACTGGCCACGCTGTGCTCCCCCCCCACCCACCCCCCGGCTTAGGAAAACAGTGTGCCTGGGACACTCGAGGAAGTGATCGTGAAATCTTTGTCTTCCCCCACACACCTTCTGGGATGTTTTTGTTCCGTTTTCCAGGCTGGAGAAGACCCACAGTGGAAGCGTGCTTCTCATTCAGAACTGCTAGGTTTGGGTGTTGAGCCACCGAGGGAGCTGGGTTCTCTGGGGAAGTGGGACCTTGCCATTGTTTATGGGGTTGTGTTTGTCTGTTCTGCCTATATCCAGAAAGCATCAGGACTCCAAAAAGGAAGAAGAAAAGAAGAAGCCCCACATAAAGAAACCTCTTAATGCGTTCATGTTGTATATGAAGGAAATGAGGGCAAAGGTCGTGGCGGAGTGCACGTTGAAAGAAAGTGCGGCCATCAACCAGATCCTGGGGCGAAGGGTAGGTCAAGGGGGATGGATGGACCAGGGCACAGTGGGTGGCATGGCACGGTGGCCCTGTCCCTTCAGTCACATGCTGACTTCTTCAGTGGCATTGATGGGAGCGTGACCAGAACGACCTTCTCCACACCCACCGCCATCTTCCCCAAAGTGAGGGAGCTGACAGATGAGGTTTTGTCTGAGCACTCCTGGGCGAGCCAGGACCCTGCAGAGCCGACCCGCCTTTTAGCCCCAGCCACAGGGTAGTTTGTGATCTTTTGTCTGCCTCTCTCGCCTCTGTGTCCCCTCCAGTGGCACGCACTGTCCAGAGAAGAGCAAGCAAAGTACTACGAGCTGGCCCGGAAGGAGCGACAGCTTCACATGCAGCTGTACCCCGGCTGGTCTGCGCGGGACAACTATGTAGGTGTTCGTTTTTCTCAGAACCAGAGTCTGTAGAGACGTGTGGGGGGGTTCCTCTGCCCAAAGGGAGTGCTACCTGTCACCTTAAATCAGGCCTCAGAACCGTACATTCTGCGCACTCCCGGGACCAGGGGCGTCCTGGCTTCCAGTACGGCTCCATCAGCAGGCCAGAGTTCTTCAAGGAGGGAGGAGGGCCGTGTTCTGTTGTTCCAGCTCGGAACCATGGGGTTGACTTGGGGCTGTGCACACCTTCTTGCCCAGGTCTTCGTAAAGACCTGGCTCTGGGAGGTGCCTCAGGGGACTTCTGTGCTTCTCAGCAAGGGTTCATGGGGCCTGACAGGGAAGGCCTTGGGTAGCGGTGGAGCGAGTTTAATTCCTCCCAGGCCTTCCAGCAGGGCCTTGGCCCTTACGAGGGAGAAAAGCACCAATTGCCCTGCGCTGTGGTGCAGGACAAGTTGGAAATCTAGTTCCTCCTGAGAGGGGCACGGTGGGAGGACCCTGCGAGCAGCCGGCGGTAGTCTTCCTCTGGTGGGGCGCGGGAAATGCCTCGGGTCCCCTGGAGGGTCGGGAAAGGGTCTATGCCACGTGAGGTGTCTTTTAGGGCTCTGTGTTGACTGCAGGATTTGCCTAATTTCCTCCCTGGCATTTTAGGAGACACGGTGGGATTGTTGCTTTCACTAATCACAGCAGTCGTGACACCCAGGATTGCTGTCCTCTCCTAGCCTTGCTCTCCTCTCCCTGTTACGTCTTGTTCCGCATTTTGCCCAGCGTCCTTCTGGCTGGCTCTCCTCTCAGTGGATGACATGTCTCTTATTTCACCTGATACTTTTATTCCAAGGCATTTGGTGTTATAAAGTGATTCTTAACCATTCACTCTCTAGGGTGGTGAAGGCAAAGCTTGTCTTGACATCTGCAGTGGGCTTCTCCTTCCATATCTGGTCAGTGGCGTGGAGCCGTGGCGGGGTCTTTCTCCCGTGCACGCTCCTGACCTAGCTCTCCTGTGGACGTCTGTGGTGAACACGCTCTCTCTGTCCGTGGGTTGAGATCAGGTCAGTTAGTGCTGGTTGCAAGTGTGCCCACACGGTATTAGGGGTACTCAGAGTTAAATCAAACATGTTGACTCTCAAAACTAATCTGCCATCAAGAAGCCACAGACATGGGTGGGAACCTGTGGGTCCCGAGCAGATGCCGTCTTCTGCTCGTTCTCACGGTTTCCCATACCTGTCAACCTGTGCTTGCTACTCTGCTCTTCCCTGTGCAGAGAAGATGGGGGTACGGAGAACACAGACCACTGGGCTTCACCCCCACGTCTTCATCACTGCCCCCAGCCGCCGCCCTTTGGGTCTCAGTGGCCTTGGCTGGTAGCACGAGGCTCTGTTCCTCCTGGGAGTTGAAATGGGAATTAGTGCCAGTATCTCTCACTGGAGTGTTTGCTGTGCTCAGGGCCCTTGTCACTCACAGATGGTCATGCACTGGGTCGTAGCTGCTTGGGACCTTTCCATTCGCCCTCAGCATGTGTACTTGAGGAAGCCTTTCTTCTGGAATGGAAAGGAAGAGGATGAGAAAGTGAATGCTCTCCCACAGGCTTGCCGCTCACCCCCATCTGACCTCAAGGTGGAGATTTCCAGCAGCAGGCCAGCTCTGTGGCCTCCACATGCGCAGCCATCTCGTTTCAGGACACTCTTCTCCTGGTTTCGGGTCAGAAGCTCTTAGAGTTTACCTCCACCTTCTACCTGCTACAGACCTAAGTCTGAGTGATCTAGAATGGTACCACAGAGAGGAATTCTGCTCCCCTATAGATATCGTATCCCCAACAGACATTTGGGGTCATGGTAGGGCCTTCGTGTACAGCTTTGCAGGATGTGCACTGCACAACTCTAGGGAGTGCCATTTACATTATGGCCTATGTGCATGGTGCCCTCTGGAGTTGTGCAGGGGGAGATCTTCACAAAGATACACAAAGGCCAACTTCGTGTTAGCTTCAAAAGAATGCTGCCACTGACTTGCCCAGGAGTCAGTTAGACAGGCATTGCCCTGGGCTTTCTGTGAAGTGCTTTCTAGGTTTTAGAAGGTCCACGAGACACTTAAAGTGACTTCAGCTCAGCTTCACATTCAGAAGAAGCTCAGTATAATTAGGGGAGCCTCTGACAAGACTTGAGAGAAAGATTAGAGGTAGATCTAGATGTAGGACTGAAGGAGCTTTATCCCTCATACAGGGTACTGTCTGACTCCTATCACCATGGCTCCTTACACATGAGCGTGAACACACACACGCACTCTGCCCTCCCATCTTCCCTCCCTTTTGTGCCCCAGAAAATGGTCTGTGGAACAAGGGTCAGAGTTCAAGGTCTTATGGGTTTGATTGTGGTGCAACCTATCAGGTTTGGGTTTTTTTCTTAGCTGACTCGACATAGGAGTTCTGTACATTACTGTGGTTGTTGTAAAGTCCAAAAGATTCTTCTGGGAAAAGTTTTCTGAGCGAACTTCATGCCTCTTTCATGTTCCTGCTTTTCCAGTCAAGGGGCAATGGAAACCTTAGTAAAATAGAACAGTCACATTTGAGTTGTTGGACTTGACATCTTCTGGGGGCACAAGAGAAAAGAGTTTGGTCCCATAGTGCTCTCTGGCCCCGGGCATTGTATTAGAACATTGTTGCTTTTCTAGCTCTTCCAGATTACATAAAGGACACAAATCCTAAACCATTGCTTATCTCGAATTCCCCACCCCCCACCACCATATTTGGGCTTTTTCTTTTGTTACATCTAAGAAGAGAACGGGGTGGCTGCCCCCCTTGAGACATGTGTCCCTCATCACTAAATCGTGTTTATTAAGCTCTTCTTGTCCTCTTCTGATTAAAACACAGACCCTGTCCTCTAGAAGCCCTTAGTTTAAACGAGCCTATCCTCAGTCACCTCAACTATGTATCCTAAACTGACAGCTTCCCATGGGGCTTGGAACTTTCAGCTGCCTTTCAGGACATATGGAGGGAGATGGGAGACGGGCGGCCGGGCACTGTATTAAGGCGGAGGTGACTGAGAACCTGCTGGCTGGGTGGATGCCAACACTGCCCAGAGTCACCACGGTTTTGGGGGCCCCGCTGGGTGTTCATTCAGGCTCCTAAATAAACTGAAACTAGCCCTTACTGCCTTTTCCCAGATGGCCAGGCAGCATGTCACTGCTCCCCAGGAGAGGCGCAGACATGAAGACAGGCTGTCGAGGCTCAGGAGAGGGCCCCTTTCATTTTTTTTTAATAAACGCCTTTCATTTATTTTTACATTGTCTATCAAGGGCATGCTCTGGTGCCTCAGTCAGTTAAGCTTCTGACTCTTGGTTTCGGCTCAGAGCATGATCTCAGGGCTGTGAGATCGAGCCCCGTGTTGGGTGAGCCTGCTGAAGATTCTGTCTCCCTCTTCGCCTCCCCCTGCTCACACACGTGTGGGCACACACGCACTCAAATAATCTTTAAATTGTTTATCAAGGAGTAGACTATGTCTCTCAAGGTTTCAAACTCAAGGCCAAGACAAACTTCCCAAATGGTATGGGCCCAAGTTCTGAGAGGAAAGAGGGACTTTTTTTGAGCCCTTGGATGGAGCTAAAACTGTGGCATCTCCACCGTGAGGTTCTCATCTTTACAGGGCCTTAGGGGTTGTCAAGTTGACCACCTGTCATTCTTGTTTTTCCCTCCTGAGTTGATGTCCACATACCATGAGAACTTTAGGCAGAGACAATACTTAGATGTTCAGAAACAGACGTGTAGGCCAGTCCTTTTCATTTGTGATATTGCGTATATACCCACCATCTGACCCAGAAGGATGGGACCGGCCCTGACAAGCTGAGAACTAGTTTCAGATCTGTGGGGATGCAGTCAGCTCTACAGAGCTCAGCCCTGTTCCCATGCCACGTCCTCAGCCACGAGCGGACAGTACAGATACAGGTTGGAGAGTGTCAATGACCTTATGCGATCCATCCCCTGTAATCAATTAAAAACCTTCCACAGAGAGCAAGGGGTTAAATACGCAGGCAGCATAGCCTAGTAGGTAAGGGCTGGGGAACCAACACCTCCTGAGTTCCCATCCTGGCCCCAGCATTTGCTAACTGTGTGATCTCAGCTAACAAACCCTCTGTGACTGAGTTTCCTTCTCTGTAGAATTAGAATGGTGATAGTCCCTGTTGTATAGGATTGTGTGAGGGAAAAACGAGTCAGTGTGGATAGCGTACTTAGAATCAGGCCTGGTGCGTAGTATGTGCTCAATAAACGTTAGCTGTTGTTACTAGTATAGCCCCAGTTAAAGCTTTTGGTTTTTAATTGAGTAGAAGGACCTTTTGTCCTTAAAAAGGAGATTTGTATGGAACAAGGGTAGGGGGTGGGGGGTGATTTTCTTAGTCCACATGGCCATCTCCACAGTCATTTGATGCTTGTCTTTGAGCTCTTGGTCCACCCCCAACCCTGTCTCTCCACACCTCCCTAAATCTTCCTTCATCAGCTCTCTTCTTCCCTTTATGGAATCAGATGCTCTGGGTCGGGTTTGAGGATGGATAGAGGTGTGTGGGAAAAGAGGTCTTTCCTTCACACCCCGCTAACCCCTTTTTTTCCCCTTGCTAAGTGTGTGTCCCTCCAGCTGGAGCACGACTAAAGGGCATTTGGATGGGGGGGGGTGCTCAAAAACATTCTGGGAGCCATGGGTGTGGACGGAGACAGCAGTGTGCTCCCCCTCCTGCCTTCTCCTTCCCAGGGGACCCAGATGCCCTCCTCCCATCTGTTTTCTAAAATAATTCCTTGTGTTTCCTCTATTCATCTAGGGGAAGAAGAAGAAGAGGAAAAGGGACAAGCAGCCTGGAGAGACCAATGGTAAGTTGGAGGAAGGAGGAAGGAGCGGAACTCTGAGGACCAGTCTCGAACCTTAGATTCCTCTCAGGGGGAGGCAGGAGTAATTCAAGGCCAGGACATTGTGGGGGAACCTATCCTAGCCAGCCTTTTTGTGTATGCATTTTAATTAATTGCTTCACAACTGTCCTTTTAAAGCTAGTAACATTCATTGTTGCATGAAAAGCACATTGTAATTCTAGTGGAATGTGTTTTTAAATAACTGCAGAGCCTGGAACAGGAGGGGAGGTAGGCATGCCTATGCGGGATTTATGCAGTCTGCTTATTTTGTCTGTGTCTGTAGGGATGAGGAAGGGGCCGGGGGAGTAGGCGGGGTGTGTGCGAGTGTTTGATATTAACTGGGCTGTTCCTGAATGTTCTGATGCATGCCTTTACAGTGGTAAATTGCACCCAATTTAAATTAAGGAGGTTTGTCATTCTCTAGGAGAAATTAGAAATACTGCATAGGCAATACCAGAAGGTCCCTTGGAGAAGGCCAGGCTTTTACAAACGACAACAAAAATTTTGAAGGCTTTGTATAATTTGTTCTTTTTTTTCAGAACACAGCGAATGTTTCCTAAATCCTTGCCTTTCACTTCCTCCGATTACAGGTGCTAATGTCATTTTGAGTCATTAAAATAGTCGATAAACTGTTTTTTTTAATTTTTCTTGCCATTATAGTTTTATTAACATTAAACACGTATGACATTTGAACATCCTTTAAAATGACCATCTACACGGTTTTGTATGTTTCGGTAGATTTTTTTTCAGTTGCTTTTGGGGTTTTTGTTTTTGTTTTTGTTTTTTTTTGTTTTTTTTGGTTTTGTTTTTTAATTTACTTTAACTTTCGCTTTGTTTATTTATTTATTTTTCCCATAACAGTTGTTTAAGCAGTGATGACAGTGACTTAGTGTTGAACTAACTGTGCAAATTGAATATGCAGTATTTCTTTAAAAGAGACTGGTTAAAAAAACAAACAAAAAAAGCCAAAACAAAAAAACAAGCAAAAACCAACCAAAATGGAAGGAATTCAGTAATAAACCTCCTTAATCTAATGGCATTTTCCGTTGCTCCCACTAAGTTTTCTCACGCAAGCATGCATCCGCACGCAGTATAATTATTTTCTCCTTTGCTTTTTTTTTATTTTAGTTTTTTTCTTCCTTTTGCTTTTCTGCTCCTAATTTGCAAATCCACTAGCATTTTACTGACTGTACCTGCTTAAAAGCTGCTATGAGCTTCTGACTAACCCTGACCCGCCCACTCATTCACATTGCCTGTTCACCTTCATCTGTTCTCCTGTTAGTAGTCATGAAAATCGGTTTTAAAAAAAAGAAAGAAAAACATTTCAAAAGCTGCAATATCCCAGTACCACAATCCCCTTTTCTTTCTTTATTCCTTTCTGTTTTGTTTCATTTTGTTCTGTTTTTATTTGTAGTTTTTTTTTTCCTTTGTTTAAACTGTTGTACTCTGAGAAGGAAAAAGCATGTTACAAACCTAATTCCCTCCTTCGCTTTATTTTCTTCTTTAAGAAAGACCAATAGAGAGAGAGCTAGGGGAAAAAAAAAAAGGAAAGAAAGAAACAGCAAAGCAGAATCAAAAGAGGAAAAATACTATTTAAAATTTAGTTTTTTCAGTATCTGACTTCCCTTTATCTGCTCAAAACGAATCGGAGAGACAGTCCTTAAAGAAGGGATACTGCAGCTTTATTTGCAACAGCTAATTTCACCAGTTGAATAAGAATGTGATTTTTTTTTTTACCTTTTTTTTTTTTTAATTAAAGAAAGTTAAAAATCGAAAGTCGATATTTTGTAATTAGTAACCAGGTCATTGATTTATTCCCTTTTTTATTTTTATTTTTTTCTTATTTGTATCTTTCTCTCCCCCCCTCCCCTCTCTCTCTCTCCCTCTCTCTCTCCCACGTCCTCCTCCTCTGCTCGCTTCTCTCTTGAACTCATTCAGACCTGAGCGCTCCTAAGAAATGCCGAGCGCGCTTTGGCCTTGATCAACAGAATAACTGGTGCGGCCCTTGCAGGTGTGTATAGATTTCCCAGATTCGCTGTGCTAGTCTGCAGCTGGTCTCTTTGGTCCTTTCCCCCTTCTCTGGCCTGTTGCTTTGTAGCTCTGTGTGTGGATCTTAGGAGACATGAGGGCACGGGACACTGCTCTGTGAGGGATGTGCTTCTTCTCCCCGCTGCTGCTAGCCAAAATGCCACTGTAAAACAGCATCATTTGTGCCTCCTCGGGTCAGCGACAGCCAGCCCCAGCGCGCCCCCTCCCAGGGAACGTTGCCTGCTAACCCCCTTCCTCATGACCACCCAGGATGGGGCTCAGTGACATCCATCGTAATCCTGGCCTAGGTAGAAGCAAACAACAACGTCACCTTCTCCCCTCCTTCTCTCTTCTATTTTTTAATTTATTTTTCCTTGTTGTTTTTTGGTTTCTGGTTGTTGTTTTTTTGGTTTTGGTTTTTTTGTTTTTTGGGTTTTTGGTTTGTTTGTTTGTTTTGGTTTTGGTTTTTTTTGGTGAGTGTTTTATCATTTTGTTTTTATTTTTTTTCCTTTTGCCTCATAGAAGTCTTTTCCTTTCATGTCCTTGGTGAGGGAAGACAGTCAAAGAGAGCCATGGTCCTAGAGAAGACGAGTCAGCAGTAGCTGAGATTTCACAGCAAACTGAGCATGACCCACCATTGTGTTGTATTTTTTGTGTTTACCTTATGCTAACAGATGCAAATACTCCAAAGAAGTGTCGGGCACTGTTCGGGCTTGACCGACAGACTTTATGGTGCAAACCGTGCAGGTATATGACCACTGTGAGGCCTTTGGGAAAATCAAAGCACTCTGTCCTTCTGCTACCTCAGTGTGTCGATATATTTTGACCTCGTTCCCATCTACTTCCCTACCAGCATCAATGACTAATGATCCTCATCCTTCAAAATTTCCTTGCTAATTTTATGCTGTATCCTTTCCCCACTTTCTCTTTCTCTCTTTCCCCCTCGCTCTTACGAGTTACATACCCAGATCCCCGGTGGTAGGACTGAGAACACACCCTCTCCCGGCCAGGAATGGGCACTTACCCTTTTGCTTTGCAAGCAGCCTCCTGGACGGGCCCGGTCCGTGGCGTGTGTCGAGCTTAGATAGAGCCACCGGTGCCAAAGGTTTGAATGAGCTAAAAACTTGGCAGCAAGAGCCGTCCCCGCGCACTTGAGAGTCAAGACACTTGGAGAAGGGCTCTGGGGCAGGCGTTTTTTGGTTCTGTTCTGTTTCATTTTTCTTTTATGTTTAAAAACCACATGTCTCTGGACAGAGGAGCCTGGTTAGCTGACATTGTTTTGCAGTGCTGCGACGAAGCGTGGCACTGTGGCGCGCGCCAGCTGAAGGGGTGCGGACAGTGCGTTGTGCAGTCGCGTGCTGCAGCGTGGCCAGCCCGCGGAATTGCAAACGTATATCGTATGTGTTTAGAGAGAGAGCGAGAGAGAGAGGGAGATTGAGAGAGAGCATTGCTTCCAGAATGAACTAGAAGAGTCCAAATTGAACACCCACGTTCCACCTGCAGGTTTCCATCCAATCTGTAATTTCAGGGAAGGTGTAGGGTACTTCCTTCTTGGTGGAGGGATGCCGACTTGTTCCTGTCTCATTTCCTTTCCTTTAATGACCACCTTTGGTTAAATTTGTTGTTTCTTTGTTCTGATACAAGCAGTCTTTGAATTTGGAATATTATGATGGTAGGTATCTCAACACCCCCCAAACACGCCTCCCTGTTTGTAGTGCCTCCTTGTCACGTGTCCCTCTCCTTCATGCCTTTGCCATGTGTTCCGTGTTTAGACGTTAGATCAGATGTCCATCCCATCACGTGCATGCCCACGAGTCTCCTGTGTCTCTTCCCCTCCGCTGGTGCCTTACGAGGGATGGGCCGAGTTGGCCTCAAGTTCCAGACGTTTAGGGGAGAGAGGGCCCAAGCATCTTTATTGAGAGAGAACGCCACAGACAACCCTCTGGGCCCTCTGAGTGAGGGTTCCAGGCCTGGAGAGAGATCCTCCAGCCGTTCGTTCTGTGAGACGGCAGGGTTCACGGAGGTGACAAATACCCTTCCTGCACAATCCCGGGGTCTTCTCTGTGCCCCAGAGTAGAGTTTCCTGCAGAGGTGGATGAAGAATGTTAGGGATTAAAGTAGGCAGACCCAGGGAGGACAGGTCTAGGCAGTGAGTTTGCGGCAGAATCTTCTCGGCGCTGAGGAGGAAGATGATGGGCTGCAGAGTCCTGGTCTGAGGCGCCCTGCCATGCTGAAGGGTTTCTCTAATCGCAGGGCTCCCTCCTGAGCCTTTTCTCACCATCTCTAGAAATGGATGGCTGAGACCATTGTGCCCACTTGCATATGGTGTGTTGCCAGATTGGTGTCTATTTTATTGGGGGGTGGTGAGTGGTGGCGGTTTAGGAACCCCCCCTTTTTTTTTTGTTTCTGAAGCAGTTGCTTCAAGTTAGACTTGACTTTTTTTTTTTTTCCTGAAAGTGACTGTTCCTAACATTGACCAGGATGGACATCCCCCTCTCAGACACAGCCTGAACATCGTTTCAAGCCAGGGTGTGGGGTCTGCCTCAGAGGCCAGAGGTTTCAGGACATTTTTACCAAAAAAACAAAAGCAAAAACCAAAATCCTTGTTAGCTGCCTCATAAACACGATTTTCAAAAGCGCAGCTCTGAAGAGCCGGCAGTCAGCAAGGCGGGCTGCAGTCCCTCGTCACTCCTCAGCATTCTTCCCACCTTGACACTGTTAGAACTTTCTCGGTGGCCACTTTGCTTCTGCATGGGGTGTTTCTCAGACCTTGAAAGCATCAGCAGATGCATTTTAGCTCACTCCCAAACAGGATCAGGAAGAACCCTTGGTTTTCCTTCCAGAATAAATCCATGGGGAACTAAAAGTGGAATTTTCAGAGGCCGCCCCTTGGTTGGAGATGGAGCCTGGGTGGGGGAGGATAAGCGGATGGGTTTTGCCCCTTTTTGCCTCAACTTTTCCTTTTTGCCAGGATCTGGCTTGATGCTAAATCAATAGGACAAAATGTTCCTTTAAAAAAACAAAGTAGTTACAAAATGAGGCATTTTCTGGCCTGTCAGAAGTGTGTGTGTGTGTTCCAGCTGCCTTTCGCTTGGCCACCTGTTAGAAGGAGTGTCTCGCTGTCCTTCATGATCTTCATGTCCCGTGTTCAAAATGCTTCCACTCATCCCCTCGACGTGGAAACCTCTGTGTCATCAGGAGGGCGGGTGGGTGAGGGAACCAGCAGACGCGCTCCTAGCCAATCAGGACTCCTTGCTTGCTACACAGGGTTTCTAATTTTATTTGACATTTGAGGACATTTTAACAAGATTCTGTTTTGAGCCCACCAAGTTGCTTTCCCATCTTTTTACTCTGCCCTAATATAGCATGGAATGCTGCTTGACGTCACTCCCCTGTTTTCCTGTTTCTCCTTTTCTCTCCCCCCACCCTCTCCTTTGTCCTTGTCGCTCTCTCACTTTTGCTTATGCCCCGCCCCCATCCCCACCCCTCCCTTCTCCCATTTTTTAAAATGCATGGACATCTTAGTTTTTTAAGCATGTTTTGATCTGCAGGCTAAGGTGGTTTAAAACTCTGAGAGGCTTAATTATGTATGTTGGTTTCTGGGATGGGAGCAGAACCCACAGTCTGTTTCAATCTATCCCAGAGGAGAAAAGGAACCCTTCCAAAATGAAAGTGAGGGGGGCTGCCCTTGCACCCCTAGAGTTCCTTTCCACCCAGAGGGGGATCATGTAGACCCTGAGGCCTCCACCCGGTGGGTCTCAGCCTCTGGGAGGCAGGGAAGGCCAAGCATGTTCCCTCCCCTCCCTCCTGCCATCTTGCTGAGTCCACACCCCACGCACTGAGGGGCATGCGCAGAGACCTCTGGGGCACAGACCCGAGGAAGAACTCATCACACCCCCTTCCTTTCAAAGCCCAGTGACATCTGACCCCAGGCAGCATCTTCCTGCTTTCTAGGGATGGGAAGCCGGCCGGCGCTTACACACTTGTTTTTACACCGAGTGTTATCAGTCATGGTTTTAACTGGATTCAAGGGCTCCTTAGGGCAGCACATTCCCTGGATCTGCATTATTTTTATTGCATGAGTGGGGTTGAGTCCCAGGATCACCTTTCCTACCAAATATCATCCCCATCGAACTGGGATTCATAGTAGGAGAAGCTCTGAGGTCATATGCTCAATTTCTTGAATCGATTTCCCCAACCTCTGATGATAAGAAAGTCTCTGAAAGTCTCATTCCTATTTCTTATGTAAACGGGAAGTATGGAGGGGAGATTTGGGTTTTGGTGCAGGGCAAACTTAGTCTTTCTGGCTTAAACACGAATCCACGATGACCCAACCCCACCAGTTCCATGCTGTGGTGTCCCCACCCCCACCCCCCCACACTTCTTCTTCCGTCGTCACTTCCTTGTGATACCCTACGCCCTCCATTCACTGGCCTCGGCACAGTGACCAGGACAAGGCGCCCCTCCATCCCATCCTCACTGTCTGTCCTTCCAGCCTTCTCACTCTGGGGTGGGGGAGGGGAAGACCCCAAATCTTTAAAAAACAAAACAAAAACCCCGCAAAAAAAATTAAGTTTGAATCATAATTTAATCCACAACCTGCAGGCCATACAACCAGTTATTCTTGTTCCTTTGGATCATTTTCTGTTTTTCTTATTCTTCCCCCTCCCCACCTTCGTTTATCCTCTTCTACCTGTTTTTGGTGGTTTTTTTTTTTTCTTTTCGTTTTTGTTTTCGTTTTATTTTATTTTATTTTTTTTTTGGTTTTTAATTTCTTTTGTTTTACTTTTGTTCCCCCCCTTTCCCACCCCCCACCCCTGACTCTCTCCTGATTCTCACCTCTCTTGATTTGGTGTGGTTCTTAACAGACAAAGCCCGTAAGCTTTCTGGGCGCCGGCAGCCTGGTGGTGGCCGTGGTGGTGGCATTGGTGGTGGTGGTGGTGGCGGTTGGTGGCGGTGGTGGCGGTTGGTGGTGGTGGCAGTCGGTGGTGGTGGTGGCGGTGGTCTGAAGACCTCTAAGCCTCTTGCTGGCACTGCCTTCAGCTCTGTGGGCTCAACAGCGTTCTGAGAGTTTCATATGGATGGATAGGAGGCGCCTGGGGAAGGAGCTCTCTTTCTCTTTCCACAAACACACACACACACACAGAGGCCACCGGGAGTGGCGGTGGGGACAGAGGGGACATGTGATGGGTTAGCCAGGGAGTGTCGAAGCCAAAAGAGCGAGAACACACTTCTCAGTCGATGTCTGCGTGGATGCAGCCACTTCCTGGCACGCAGGTGCTGCCTCCTCCAGTCGGCTCACTGGTATCTGGGCCGGGGTGGGGGCGCGGGGGTGTAGTGGGGCAGGGGGAGCAGGTAGGTAGGGGGCCTGGTCCTCGACTCCTGCAGCTCCTGCAGCGTCGGTGGCCAGAGCGGGCTTAGACGGGTGGGGGGGGCGACAGCCGAGTGAGCGCGGCACCCTGGCCACGGGCCGGGCCGGCTCTGGGGGCAGAGGGGACTTCCACTTGGCTCTGAGCATTAGATAACTCTCTCCCGTGGCATCTCTGCCCTTTATTCACAGATAACTCTCTCCCCCTGTTTCTAGGAGAAAAAAAAAGTGCGTTCGCTACATACAAGGTGAAGGCAGCTGCCTCAGTCCACCCTCTTCAGATGGAAGCTTACTAGACTCGCCTCCGCCCTCCCCCAACCTGCTAGGCTCCCCTCCCCAAGACGCCAAGTCACAGACTGAGCAGACCCAGCCTCTCTCGCTGTCCCTGAAGCCCGACCCCCTGGCTCACCTGTCCATGATGCCTCCGCCGCCTGCCCTCCTGCTTGCCGAGGCCGCCCACGGCAAGGCCCCCGCCCTCTGTCCCAACGGGGCCCTGGACCTGCCTCCTGCTGCCCTGCAGCCGCCCGTCCTGTCCTCTCTTGCACAGCCGTCAACATCTTCCTTACATTCCCACAACTCTCTGGCCGGGACCCAGCCCCAGCCGCTGTCCCTCGTGACCAAGTCGTTAGAATAGCTTTAGCTTCGTTAGCCCTGCCCTGGTCGGTTTGCGTAGTGTTGCGGTTTTCGCTTTTCTTTGTCCCCCACCCCGGCCTCCTGCACCCCCTCCCCACCCCTCACCCCCTCGGAAAGGTTTTGTTTTGTACTCTTAATTTTGTGCCACGTGGCTACATTAGTTGATGTTTATGGAGTTCATTGGTCAATATTTGACCCATTCTTATTTCAATTTCTCCTTTTAAATATGTAGATGAGAGAAGAACCTCATGATTCTACCAAAATTTTTATCAACAGCTGTTTAAAGTCTTTGTAGCGTTTAAAAAATATATATATATACATAACTGTTATGTAGTTCGGATAGCTTAGTTTTAAAAGACTGATTAAAAAACAAAAAGGAAAAAAAAGAAGCAATTTTGAAGCAGCCCTCCAGAAGGAGTTGGTTCTGTATTATTTGTATTAAATACGAGCTTGCGAACCAATCATTTTACATCTGGTTTTTAAACCATAAGGGCACGACGAATGCAGTGCCATATTCCTTTTTTTTTTCCTCTGTGTGAAACAACTTTAATTGTGATGTTACTTGTTATTGTTTAAATGTACAGAAACAAAGGGTTAAATGTGTTAATATACCTTGTTCCATGGTGGTGTTCTTTTGGGGGGAGGGGGATGCTACTCAGCAATTAATGGAATCACAACGCTGTTGGACCAGTAGTATTTATTGCTTTAGAGATTGCTTGTCGAACCTGTACGTTGTCCCTTTTAAGATATGTTTTACTTTTCCTTGAAACTGTATAAAGTTTTTTTTCCCTTAGCATAAGCATCTTATATATAACAACTCATTTGTACAAGGTTTTTAAGTTTATATATAAAATGTGTATATATATTTTTTTGTTTCTCTTTTTGACTTTTTTTTTTTTTTTTTTTTTTTTGGCTGTATGAAACCCAGATGCCGCCAAATGGACATTACTAGTTGCATTAAAGGATCAGTAGCATTAACGAAAGTTGCTTTAAAAGCCATTATGTAAAACAAGACTTGAAAATTAGCGAGGGAATTTTAGCGAGATGCTGTGTGAGCAGCAGTGGGAACCAACCCTGTTTCTCCTTTGAACCATAGTCGGCAGCTCTGTACCGTTAGGACGCGGCCTGACTGTGTGCAGAACTTTATGTGCCAAAATTCTCAGTGACTTTAGCTTTCTCCCTCTTTTTGATGCTGTAATTTTTGTTCATCATGTTTTGCTGTGATGTTACATAGGTAGATTTGTATGTAGTTTTAATGTCACTTATAACAAGATGTGTTTGGTAGCAGATTGTCCAGAAAGCATTTTAAATGAAGAGGTATAAACCCTTAGGGGCCAAAATTCTGTATATTAGATTACTCTTAAAGGAAAAACCAGCTGCCGCTTTTATGTACACGTATGACATACAAGTAGGTGGCAAACTTTACAAATAAAAAAAAAAAAACCTAGGCATGTTGATGTTGCAAAATGCTGTATAAAGCTGAAACCCGTTCATTCAGTGCCATTGTAGTTGACATGAAGCGATTGTAAAACTGTCTCCAATTTTTCTCTGGTTTATTAAAATGCTAACTATAACATTTTTTGTGAATACTTTGAATGTTTCCTAACAGTTGTGATGTTACTGTTCCGTTTTATGCTCTTATTCCAATTTCATTTTTAATGGTTTGGAAGCCATTTTTGTAATGAATAAATGTTCATGCTGTACAGTATCTGTAGCATGCCGTTCTGGATTAATAAAAGCAACTTAGTATGTGCAGATCAAGGCTGGTCACTTGTTTCTGTGATTTGGGTTTTCTACCCTGGGGGAAGCTTCCCCCGCCTTCTTGCCAGAGGACCGTCTTCCCTGAGCTGAAACTTGAGGCCAGACCGTGGGGCTGGAATGCGTGGTGGGTTAGGATTTGGATATCAAAAAGTGTTCTTGCACTCTTTTCAGGGGTCGGTCTGTTTTTTTCTTTCTCTCATTTGCCACGTCAAAATGTACGCCTGTGTACCGACTTAGTTCATTTCTATTTTATTTATTTATTTTTAAAGATTTTTATTTTCCGGCTTAGTTCATTTCTGAAAGCAGAGCACAGTGATAGTCCATGTCCCGCTTCTGGCTATAAGTCATCTGGGAGACCTGAGCTGTCTTCCTTACGGGATCCAGCTTCAGAAGGGATTGAGTTCTGGTCAATGGCACTTAGTTCCCCAGAAATGGATTTAAGACCCCTCATTGTTCCCACTGAAGGACCACTGATGTGGAAGGAGTCTGACTTCTTCCTCAGAGTTGCACGCAGGGAGAGGTGCCAGGGTGTCGAACTGAAACTTCTCTGACAGTGAACAGATGTTGAGAAAGAAGGTTTGTAGACAAGCGGATCAAGGCAAATCACTTAGCGGCTTGGATGGAGAAATCTTGCTGGGGGTGGGACTCAAGCTCTGCGGCCGTTCGCTGGTGGGGGCGAAAGTTCCTCATCATCACCACCCACCAGGGGCCACAGTGAAGATCTTCCTGAGGTTTCCACGGCAATCACTTCTCAGGCTGATTAGGAAGGCTGGGCTCAGAGGAATGCCCCCGCTATTTGGAGGTTCGTGTTATGTCCCTTTGCTTTGATGAAAGACCGTTAGCAAAGATAGCATTGAGTGTGTGTCTTGCAGAGAGCGGGTACAGAGGCCACATACCCTGGGCCAGTGGCTCTGGCCCCAGGAGCCTCACTCAACATCTCGGTGTCCAGCTGCCAGAGCTCTGAACTGTGTCCCTGAATGTCTGTGCTTACCTCACTGTGTTTTGTGCATCCAGAAGCAAGATGTCTGATATCCTAAGGTATCAGACAAGGCTAAGGGAGGTTATTTTGGGGTCTGGAAATTCTCAAAAATGTCCCATATAAATTCAGGGCAATTGCTTCTTCACGCCTGGATTTCTGCCTACAAAAGTTTCCCTAAGCACACTCTACGTTCGGATAGCGGGGGGAACCTGTGTATGTTCTTCTTCTCTAGGACAACTGTACCTTCAAAGAACCTGATTTCCATGCTCCTGGAAGCGTTCGTGTTGCTGTTGTTACTTACGGCTACACAGGGTTGTCATCAAGGACTTTAAAGTCCCTTGGAAGCTCCGCTTTGCTCAAGCTAGTTTTTGTTCTATAAAATCTCAGTATTTTGTTTTTGTTTGCTTTTGTATTCCCAGAGAGGAGTGATTCTGGTTGTCCTTCCCCATTTTATTTTGCACACTGGGCACAGAGTGACCTTTGAAAACACAAATCAGAACAGTATCCATTCTTGGTGGGGGCTACCAAGGCATTTTGTGCCTTTTCTCCTTTAATACTGACAGTCCCACCAGAGGTTGATATTTCCCCCACCCCCACCTCCCCCAGCCCACTTTATTTTCTAAAACTGGGTTTAGAAACTCTAAGTCTGTTTCTTGCCCAAGGCTGCACAGCTAGTAGGGTGGGATTAAATTCAGATTATGCCTCTTTGTATCATTAAGATGGTCCTTCTCCCAAAATGATGGGACAGTCCTGAAGGGTGTCCTTGTTTGCCCTGTACACTCACCCACACACTTGTCCCTCTTCTGGAAGGTTCTATTCTGCAGCCCCACTTCCTGCCTGGTTAACTCCCCATCATCTTTCAGGTCTGAGAAGAGACAATAGTGAGTGATGTCTCTCTCTCTCCTGTGGTACTCTTCTACCTTCCTGTTTTTCCCTCCCTTGCTTCCCTCATCCACCGTCGTGTCAGTGTATGTGGCCTAGTTAGGCCACTGAGAGTGCCACTTAGTACCATTGACATCTTTTGTTGTGGGGGAACTGTCCTACACACTGTCAGATGTTAGCATCCCTGGCCTCCTCCCACTAGATGCTGCGGCGCCCCCAGCACTGTATGACATCCAGGAATGTCTTCAGACACGGCCATATACCCCCTGTTGGGGAGTGGAGGGAGCAAAATCATGCCCCGTGGGGAACCGCTGCCGTAGAGAACACTCCAAGAGGTTAGAACTGTGGACTTTATGTTCCTTGCTCTCTACTAAGGATCGGGTTCAGTGCTGGCACATAGGGGATACTTGAACATATTTGTTGAAGGAAGGAATACGTGACATTAGCCAGCTCGCTCTGTGTATTTTGAGAACCAAAGGAATGGAGACTTTCCAGAGTGCTTCCAAATTTTGTGTTCTTGAACTTCCAAGGTGTCCGTCTTTCCTAATGCTTCCAGCCATGCTGGAAGGTAGCTCAGCTTGTTGCAAAGGCCCCCCAAAAATCCAAAAAACTCGGTGGGAGTGGGGATGGTCCCTCTGTCATCAGCCAACCTGAGCGAAGATCACTTTTTAAAAATTCAAAATATGGGTCACCTAGCCACGTGTTTACTGCCTCACCACATTTGGAACAATACTCTGGGGCTCTCCCCACCCTGACATGGGACTTCCCTTCCCCCAAGCCTATCTTTCTGGGCATTTTAGCTTCCGGTCTCCCAGATACCAGTCCAAGTCCCCATCCTTCAACATTCTCTCTCTAGCTGTTTGGTTTCTTCTGACCTCAAGAGTTTCTTTTCAGTCTGAGCATCTAATTTCATCCATCTGCACATTTGTTGTTACTAGGAGACCCTGAGACCACATCTAGGCACTCAGAACTCTGTCTCTGAGCCACATCACCCTGACTTCTGATGGGACCTGGCCCGACCAGGCCGCCTGTTGTGAGCATGCTTGGCTTCCTGTGGCTGCTGTAACAAATTGGGGGCTTCAAACAGTAGCTCTCACAGCTCTGGAGGCTGGAGGTCTGGAATCCAGGTGTCAGCGGGGCATGCTCCCGTCAGAGGTTCTGGGCTCTTAGCTTCCTGTGGCTGCTACCATCCTGCGTCTTCCTGGGCTTGTAACCACGTCACTCAGCTCTCTGCCTCCATCTTCACATCACTGCCTCCTGTGTGTCTGGAAACTTCCTGTCTCTTCCCGTAGAAAGATACCTGTGATGTATTTCGGGCCCACATGGATAATCTCAGATGAGTCACTTCTTGCTAGATTCTTAGCTTAATCACATCTTTTGCCGTAGAAAACAACACAAGTTCTAGGATTCAGGCATGGACATATATTTGGGGGGTGGGGGTCCCATTCAGGCCAGTTCAGAGG